TTATCTATGTTGGCCAAACAAGTAAACATCTTGACTTAAGAATAAAAGAACAGATAAAGTATAAGGGCTGGGCAGGAGTCCAGTGCATTATTTATTCACTTAGGAAATTGCAATCATTCAATTCACTGGACTAATTCATGCAAAACTGTTGAGTGTAAATCATTGGAAGAAATATCATTGAAACTTCAATTATCAAAAAATAGTGAATTAGATAATATTAATGTAAGTCCAGGATTATATAAACTAGATAGATTTATAATTGGTAATATTTGTGATAGGAATACAATTATGCAAAGAATAATTGTATGGGTTGTACATTCCAAGAACTGGTCAATAGCCTATCTCCATTTAACTAGGTCACTCCTATTATTCGATGTTTTCTTTATGGATCTTTATCTACTCAGGTGTAGTGAGGTACATAATCCCAAAACCATGTCTTCTCTGTATTCCTTGATAATGCGTTAAAACGTTCGGAATTTTCGTTTCATTTTTTCCTACGGGATACCTAAACAACCCAATCATGTTTTTTTCATTATTCATGCATATATGCTATCGTGACACTTGGCATATATATCTGTGTAGGAAAAAAAAATCATAGCAAAAGACATAAATCATGGCAAAAAAATACATAGGTTATCGTAGCAATCAAGACATGCAAGCCATCGTGGCAATATATACATGTCATCATGGCGATATAACATACATCTCCAGCCTGACATTATAGACATACAAATCATCGTAGCATCTCGACACATGCCATTATGGCACATGTAGACGTAGATATAATTATGACACAATAAAATAGCCTAGTAATATAAGCACACAGTACATGCCATCGTGGTAAATCTATATAACTTAGTGGCAATAAAGGCATACAAGTAGTCAATACAATAAACTAAACTTCATCTCTGACATAGGCTTCATGTCATCGTCGTACTTGCCTACAACGGCAACATAAATACTATCACTGAATTGCACTTTTAACAGTCTTTTCTAAAAAAGCTATAATTTCAAACTGCAAATCATAATGAAACGTAAATTAATCTATTACTTTTCTTCATTTTTTTAAATTGAATTGGCACTTGGATCACTTGTTTCTTGATTTATATTCAGTTATAGGAGCGGCGGTAGTGTGTGTGCGTGGGTGGGTGTGCAGGCGTGTTAGGTCAGGACCATAGCAATATGCAGTGGAGGGCCGCACCGTATAGTGCTGATGGGGCGGATGTGCTCAATAGCGAGAAGCCTGAGTGGAACACTTACTTCAAGATGGCGTCGCCAGTGAAAATGTTAGCCCTCTCCTGCTGGCGGTGACGGCGAAGAAGGCCGGCTAGATTCTATTACAGACTATTATGGCGGTGCTACACTGGCACCAGCAATAACCTTTATAGAGCTGAGTGTCTCTGCCTCAGTGGTTTCAGAAATGTGTTTGTATTGAGAAATGTCAAGTGTTATTCAATACTAATTCGCGCGAGAAGCTTATATAATTATCATTTACTCCTTAATTTGACAATTTCCATTGAAAATCGAGGGAAATAAAATTATCTCCTAAAAAAATGAATCTAGGAAAAGTGTGGCCATCCATTAAGATCAATATAAGCAGAGCTTAATCGCCCCGAGATGCTCAACTACCCACATTATTTTAGCTTGCATCCTTATTAACGACATCGAAAATTGGTAAACAAGGTAAGCCGATGTTAAATCACGAGGAAATTGGGCTCCTTTCACTTGGTTTTGGCAGCGGCATTGTAAGTCGAGAAGCATGAAGCGTGGGCCGGTGCAGAATCGCCAATATCTTCCTTTCATCTACTACTCCTAAGTACTTTCACAACTGGCTAGCGTGACATTTTGCCACATGATCTAAAACACCTGTCATGGAATCTGGACAGGTAAGCGCATGTTGGCAGGAGTTAAGGAGGAAGATGGTAGGATCAATACCCCGGCGGAGTGGAATACAATAGGCTTTAATAACAGTCCAATATCTCGTTACATTACCGCCTTGCCCGCTCGACCAACTAGGCTAATGGTACTATGACCAAGATAGACACTGACAGCACTTTGCCGTATACGACAGAGGTAAGTGTTGCAAATGCACACTATTTACTCTTATTACACTAGCATTATAGCCCAGGGAAGTGCAAGTTGTTGAGCTTTACTGACCGGAAGACACAATGGTTGAGCTCAGGTTAGTAAAGGGCGAGACGGGTGGTCTAGATGAGGAGAAATAGGTCACATCAGTCAGCCCATTCTCCTAAAATTAAAGTACTTAAGGTAACTATTTAGTGTAAAGTACCAATATGACCTATGGACCTGCAGATAGTAGAATTTTCTAGTATTGAACTTGGACAAATCAAACGTTTTATCAACAACATAAGACCTAACCTAACCCCCTACCAGCAATCCTAGGTCTAATACACGCTATCCTAGGCCTAGTGTAGTACATATAAGGGGTATACTAGGCCAAGGAATATTAAAGTTTATTTTTAGCTTTATTTTGCTCCGAACTTTAAAATTAAGAGTACAAAATTCTATTATCTGCTGGTCCATAACATCAT